CCCTAATAAATGTTTTGACCCTAAAACCCCTTAAACCCTCACAACTAAACTCTAATACAATATAGTTAACACAAACATAAATGATCTAATGAAAAAATAATTTTTAAAAAGTAGTATTTTTGCAAAGATTTTAAAAATGTGGCATATTTAAAAAATGACATTTGAAAAGTCGTATTTCTTGAAATTTTCTAAAATCAATATAAGTATTTTAATTTTTTTGGTAACTGGAATAAACTTTTCAAATCATTATAGTTATTGGGAAAATTATTATACGGAATCCAAAACTCGTTTATATATATTTTTACAATTATTTTGTATAGAAATGTGTTCCAACTGTGAAATAATTGACAACAACAATTTTTAATTTCTTAATCAATATATATCACTTATTAATAAAATATATATGAATTGAATCTTATAGGTTTAGGGTAATTGTTAGAGTAATAATATAGTTTTTAAAATAAAAATTTGGATTTAATTAATTGGTCGTAAATCTAAATCAAGATATAATTTAATTTTTTTTGTAATAGATATTCATTTTTTTATATTAAAGTTATTCAAGTGTTTTTTTATATTAGAAGAATATAAGATTTGGGAAAACAGTCATTTTAATACCAAACTGTCCGGTTTGCGCCAAAACAAATACCACTTATTAAAGAGTCATAAAACACATAAACTTGTGTTGACTCGGCTAAATTAGATATAAAATTAGTCAACTTTAACAGCTATTTGAAAATCATTAACCACCGTTTACAGTAACCGTTAAGTCTCAAAACGAATTCGCTTTGAGATTAACAAAATGGTCATTTAAATACCAAACTCTCCGGGTTGCGCCAAAACAAATACCAACTTGTTAGTGAGTCATAAAACACACAAACTTATGTTGTCTCGGCCGAATGAGGTATAAAATTAGTCAACTATAGACCGGAGCCCGGGTCCGAATACATGGAGAGATGAGACTCTACAAGGCCGTATTTTGAGTCCAGCGACTTGTTAGGACATGAGATCCCTGGAAGCCGTAGCCTGAGTCCGGAGATCTGGGAGGGCACAAGATTGCGATAACCTAAGTCTGAAGACCTGACAGGTAGCGCGAGAACTCCCGTGAAGGTTGCGCTAACCTAAGTTCGGAGACTTGACGGGTTAGTAACAAAACACTTGCAGAGACCTATGACATGAGTCAACCGACCTATCCCCTCGGAGACTGCTGAGAAGTTCGCATCACTTTGGGGGATAGAACCGGAGGCAAATTTACTCAATAGGACCGAGCTGCATCAGAGCGATACCCGAGCATGGCCTTTCGGGAAACTAGGCCACTGATCCCAACAATTGTGATTCTCTTTTCTTTTCTATCGAAAATCCCGCTATCCCTTTCCTATTTCTTTATTAAAAAAGACAGAATATATTTTGCAATTGTTAGGCGCATTCGATGTTGCCAACACCTCGGCATTACGTCTAACATCCCATGAGTACTTAGCGGTAAAGTGAAAGGAAACTAACGACCCCAAACGAAGTGATGATGTTACTCACACTACAACCTCGGAGGATCTCGTCTCTCCATATCTCCGGATCCGGGTTCCGATCTATAGTTGACTAATTTTATACCTAATTTGGTCGACTCAACATAAGTTTATGTATTTTATGACTCATTAATAAGTTGATATTTGTTTTGGCGCAAACTGGTGAGTTTGGTATTTATGACCATTTTTCTTAATCTCAGAACGACTTCGTTTTAAGACTTAATGGTGATAGTAAACGGTGGTTAACGGTTTTCAGACAGTTGTTAAAGTTGACTAATTGTATACCTAATTTGGCCGAGTCAACACAAATTTGTGTGTTTTATGACTCATTCACAAATTGGTTATTGTTTTGGTGCAAATCGGATAGTTCAGTATTAAAATGACCATTTTCCCGATTAAGTATACTAGTAATTTCGGAAAATCATCAAACCCGGTCGAACCACATTGATCCGCAACCCATATATTTCTCCGGTTCGATTGTCGTTCCAGTTTTATAAAACATTGGGTCAAAGCCATCACTGTTTTTGAGGAATTAAAAGCATCACTCTCGAAGTCCAGTTCCCAAAATAGTTCTCTATTATTTATTTTCTCTAAGGTAGTTCATCAGAGATGTTAAAACCTGTTTTTCTGACCCGTATAGGTCCGTCCAGCTCGTTTAACCATTAACTAATATAAACATGTTTAAGTTTGAACATATTCATACCCATTTAGGTTAAAGTCTATTTGGTTTAGATTTGCCCATTTAAGTTGCGTTCATTCAATGTTTGACCCCTTCGGTTATGAACATGAGAATGTTTGACCCCTTCGGTTATGAACAAAAGAGAACAAAGAGATATTGAACATGAGAATTCATCTTAGTCACTATTGTGCTTTCATTGCAT